TTGGGGTTGCAAAGAGTTGGACAAGACTGAGTGACTAACACTTTCACTTTCTAACGTCTAAGAAATCTAAATTGTCGAGTTTCTGTTTGAAGAAATCATGTTTGCTTGTTAATCTTTTTTATTCTCTTTCTTTTAATTAAGAAAAAAAATTTTTTTTAAGTTTTGACTGGCCCTTCACAGCAGTGCACAGGATTCTCTAGTTGTGGCATGCAGACAACCCACAGCTTGCAGTATCTTAGTTCCCCAACCAGGGATTGAACCTGTGTCCCCTGCATTGAAAGGTGGATTCTTAATCATTGGACCAACAGGGAAGTCCTTGTTTGTTTGTAAATTTTCTAGAGGTCTTAGGTTCACAGGGACACAGAATGAGCTTGGTAACAGTGGCTTCTATGTGAATGGAGATCCCAACTGGTAAGCTTGAAGGGTTGGAATCTTCTAGCTTCAACATATAGAACATCTTCTCAAAGAGTTATGCAGACTAAAAGGATATATTTTAAGATGGACTCATGTGCCTTATATACCAGGCTTCCCTGGTAGCTCAGACGATAAAGAATCTGGGACCTAGGTTTGATCCCTGGCTTGGGAAGATCCCCTGGAGAAGGGAATGGCAACCCACTCCAGTATTCTTGCCTAGAGAATTCCATGGACAGAGGGGCCTGGCGGGCTATAGTCCATGGGGTCACAAAGAGTCAGACATGACTGAATGATTAACACTTAATGCTTATGTGCCTTTCTAGTTAAGTTGCCTAGAAGTTTTTAAGGGGAGATTAGTGACTAGCATCCAGTACAAGGCTCTTTCCTAGCAAACTGGAAACACTTTGGATGTGGAGAATTGGGTTGGTAATGTCATTGGTCCTCCCACTCTGTTATTTTTTAGGTTTTTATAAGTTTTCTTGAAAAAGGATGTATGGATGTGAGAGTTGGACCATAAAGAAAGCTGAGTGTCAAAGAATTGATGCTTTTGAACTGTGGAGAAGACTCTTGAGAGTCCCTTGGACTGCAAGGAGATCCAACCAGTCCATCCTAAAGGAAATCAGTCCGAATATCCATTGGAAGGACTGATGCTGAAGCTGAAACTCCAATACTTTGGCTGCCTGATGCGAAGAACTTACTCATTGGAAAAGATCCCAATGCTGGCAAAGATTGAAGACAGAAGGATAAAGGGACGACAGAGGATGAGATGGTTGGATAGCATCACCAACTCAATGGACATGAGTTTGAACTCACAGGGAGTTGGTGATGGACAGGGAGGCCTGGTGTGCTGCAGTCCATGGGGTCGCAAAGAGTTGGACACGACTGAGTGACTGATTTGAAGTAAACTTGTAAAAGGAGAAAGCTTCTGTCTAGATCAATTAAATTCAAGAGAAAATGGGATTTGCTTTCTATCTGCATTCATTTCACATCCAAATTCCTGGTGTTGGTCTGCAAGGTCAGAGGCTACGATAACCATGGTCTCATTGACCTCATCTAGGGCTCCTCTCCCCTCACCGGCTCACTCTGCTTTGGAATGCAGACCTCCTCACTGCTCTTTAAACCATTCAGACACACTCTGACCTGGGGCCTTTGTACTTGCTCTTTCTCAAGCCTGGAATGTTCTTTTCTTGCTTATCCACTTGGCTCATTCTCTGACAACCTCAAGTCCTTGCTGCAGTTTCTCCTCCAGGAGACCTCTTCTGAATGCATTATTTAATATAAAAAACCACACCTTTGATTTCACCCCTCAGCTCTCTCAATCCTTCTCTCCTCTCCTGCTCAACGCCTGTCCATTTTTACACAACAGTAACGATCTTTTAACATGCTAAATAATCACTCTTTTTTTTTTGGCCGTACCACGTGGATTGTGGGATCTTAGTTCCCCAACCAGGATTGAACCCATGCCCCTGCAGTGGAAGTAGGGTGGCATCTTAGCCAGTGGACTACCAGGAAGTCCAGTAATTTATTTATTTATGATGCAATGTGTTCGTTTTCCTTCTGCCTCTGCTGGAATGTAAATTTCTCAAGGGCCGAGATTTTTGTCTTGCTCACTAGTGGGTCTCAAGAGCCTAGATCTGTACCCAGCTCACAGTAGCCATGCCTTTCATATTTGATGAATAAAAGAGTGGGTTGGTTAAACATAGCTAGGGACAGGGTTGTAGTTAGGGCAGGGGCTTCATGAGGAATTTCCGAGTGTCAAGAAGGCAGCTCAAAGACACCCTGAAAACAAGGACAGAAGGAAAACAGAGATGGTGCAGAGTGGTGATATATATTGCACTGCATGAATTTTCCGAGGGTTGATTTTGATGGGTATCTGAGATGCAGGAAAATGCTTGGATATTTTTGCAAGAAATTGCAATGATGTGGCTGAAAAATTTCCTGTCACTCACTGAATCTCTCATACATTCCACATCTCTACACCCAACCTTCTTGCTCATACCTGCAGCAGGCCATCTGGTTTTATTTTTATCATCAGACAAAGATGACAAACTTAAGATATCCCTGGGTATGACCTCAAATATCTCTCAGGGCCACAATGAGACAAAACAACTTCATCTTTACCAGACACAAGACGAAAATGACTCATCAGACAAAACAAATCTAGTGTTACAGACCCACCTGTTCACTCTTGGGAAGCTGTTTGAACTTCATATCCCAGTGTGCTCTGGCTGAATTAGAAGGCAGGAGGGAAAGGTTATTAGAAGACAGTAAGGTTATGTTAGTCTGTGCGTTCTTCCCCAGGACAGGGGTGATCCTAGGGAGCACAGCTCTGAGCCTGAGCGCTGGATTAGTCTGGAGGACAGAGTTAGACTGCCAGGGTTTAAATCTTGGATCCATTATTATTAGTGCCGTGTGGCATGTGGGATCTTAGTTCCCTAAACAGGGTCCAAACCGGTGCCCCTACATTGGAAGCACAGAATCACAACCACTGGACCACCAAAGAGGTCCTTTGGCTCCATGATTTGAGAGTTGTGTGACTTAGGAAAGTTATTAGCCTTTTTAATCTCAGTTTTGCCACTGTGAACAATACCAAGAGATTATATGAGGAGAGAATGAGCTACTAAATATGCGAAGTATCTAGCATGGTGCCTTAATAAAGGGTAGCTCTTAGGCACGTATAATATAGGCAGCCATTAAAATTAAAATTCTGGCTTTGTTACTTATTTGCGGTGCACTTGGGACAAGATGCTTCACCTTACTTTGCTTCCGCTTCATTTTCAAGAGGCAAATTACTGGAAAGGACTTTGATAAGGATCCAACACAATGGCATAGGCAGATGAGTTCGGGAAAGCCTGACACTTAACGAGTGTGCAATAGAAGACATCTTCTCTAATTTGACACTACAATTACTATTATTACTATTATTGCAACAACTGCATCTACTGCTGTTGCATTACTAGGCAATGGGACAAGTTCGGGGGGAAAACCCCATTAACTTTACTCTTCAACAGTCTTCTGCTTATAGTTTTTAAAAAACTTTCTTGCTCCTTCCTATCCATATATTTTTTGTTTGTCTGTCACTGAAGTACAATCACTTACCAATAGAAATGAGTGAATGTTAGCAAGACATTAGAGGAAGAGGATGCACTTCATATTCTTGACTCTAGAAGCAGTCTTGAAATTCCTTGGGTTGTCATTCGAATAGCATCTTTGATGGCAGAAGTTCCTGTTTTCCAGGTCATTTCCTTTGGACTTGGACTTGGTGACATATTGAAAATAATGAAAGTGATGGGAGCTGGTTATAATTGAGGAATCACTAGTCATTGCGGGAGAGATGATGAGTTGTCTACCAATATCTGTTCTGCCCCTTTTTCTTTAATATTAAAACTCCTGAGTCATAGCTGGAGACTCTGCTTTTCAACTGGAGACTCTATTTCCCAAATTCACCTGCAGCTAGCTATGCCCTTACGACTAAATTCTTGACAACAGAATGGCAGCAGAAGTGATAGATTGCTAGTTCCAGGTCATACCCCTTAAGAAATGGCTATTGCACACTTTGGGCTTCCTTGGTGGCTGAGACGGTAAAGAATGTGCCTGGACATGATGTTGTGGCTGAACAACAAGAAAGCAGCGAGGAAAAAATGCTTTAATTAGAGTAGTTCCACTTTTATCTGTTTATACCTCTGGGAACATTTCTAATAGAGAGTCTCTGGGATAAAGTTTGAAAACCACTTCTGAAAGTTTACAGAAATTTCTTGAGACACTAAAAATCAAATCATGTACAATAATTTGGTTTTTAATAAATAAGTAGGTACGCTTTATTTAAATTTTTTTTTCTTTTTTGGACTCCCGGACAAGGGATTGAACCTGTGCCCCTGGCAATGAATGGAAGCTTAGAGTCCTAACCACTAGACTGCTAAGGGATTCCCAGTAGCTGTGCTTTAGAAGGCAGTTTGAATTATTATTTATGGTAATGAATGGTTACAACTTCCAAAAGAGGTAATTACAAATAGCCTCATATTTTAGACATGGCATCAGAATTTGTATGTTATGAAATTACAGATGCTGATGGCAACCATAGCTAGTATCCTGCTTGTTGCATTGCTGGGAAATAAAACTGTTGATGGATTCTTCCTCGAAGTTGTTTAAAACCAGCCAATGGCTGGTAGAGCAGTGATTTTTCAATCTGAGATTCAGTTATGCAAGACAAGGCAGCTGCAAAACTACTTAGCTTAACCTAGCACAGAATTTGTTGCCAATACAAACGGCAGTCTCTAAACATTCCAGATGTCTTTGTACACTTCCATGAAATGTTGCCCCCACTCACATGTTCTGGACAGCAGGGCAGTCTGAGGTGGTGGTCAACCGCCTCATGTAGAAATATTTCTTGCAGCATCTGTAGGGGGATCACTTTACTGATAGGCTCTGACCAGGTGCGGTTTGGACCCTTCACCCTCCCCGACCAACACGTCTACCCAGAGCCCAATACGTCTTTGCTTCTGGTGACCGATGCCTGATTACTGCTGTGCTGCTTAGACGGGGCCTCTGAGTAATTACAGAGTTGGCCTGCGGTTGTCTTCCAGGAAATGGCAAGTACCACTGGCCTGGCTGTGTCCCGGCAGACTCCTCTTGGGGACAACAGGAAACACATGCCATGTAAGGACATCCTGCAGCAGCAGCTGCTTCTCCGTGGACAGACGAAAGTCAGACGAGCGTGTGTCTTCAGCCATCTCTGCTTCCCCTTCCCGTATCCATCAGAGGTTTATCAGAAGAAAAAGGTGTGCATATACAGTGATCTTCCAAAGGGACCTACATGAACTTTCACGCCAGAATTTGGGTACTTGCTTTTGACCTTCCTCTATGTACAGTGACCCCAAGAATGTTTTTGCAGCTAACTTTTTGAGCACTGTTGCCTTAGGGCCAAGTCTCCCAGGAAGGTTCTCAAAGAGCTTCTCTGTTTTCATCATTTAGTTGAGAGAACAGGAGCTTTATTAACTTGTGGCCCCAAATGGCTTGAAAATACATGTCAGTTTCCAAAATTCAACTTAACCAGCTGAAGAAATTCAATGCTCCAAGTTGTTAAATGTATACTCTCTGTGATCCCATTGGTCTATATAGTCCATGGAATTCTCCAGGCCAGAATACTGGAGTGGGTAGCCTTTTTCTTCTCCAGGGGATCTTCCCAACCCAGGGATCGAACCCAGGTCTCCCACATGGCAGGCGGATTCTTTAACAGCTGAGCCACAAGGGAAGCCTGTTAAATGTAGATAGGTAATGTGAAATTGGCGCAGGAGAAGAGGAAGAATGTTGTTTGATGGGGAGAGCTGCTCAGACAGGCTCTTCTCAGGTGTCCTCACTGTCTATTGCTCTTGGCTATTTGGTCCACTCTCCTGCCACAAGAGGAATTTAATAGGGTATTGTCATTTGAAGGGAGGCCATAGCAGGAACAGCCTTGGAACACCCTGGAGTACTGTGTGGCTCTTAAAAATAATAGATTAGATCTACTCCAAATGATTTCCAGCAATTTTGACTATTTATTTATTTATTTTGGTGAACCATTTATAAAGTCTTTATTGAATTTGTTACAATGCTGTTTCTGTTTTATGTTTTGGTTTTTTTTTTGGCCACAGGCATGTGGGATCTTAGCTCCCTATGTGCTTGTATGCTAAATCTCTGCAGGTCTTGTCCAACTTTTTTCAACCCTATGGACAGTAACCCGCCAGGCTCCTCCGTCCATGGGATTCTCTAGGCAAGAATACTAGAATGGGTAGCCATTCCCTTTTCCAGGGGATCTTCCCGACCCAGGGATTGAACCTTTGTCTCATGTCTCCTGCAGTGGTAGGTGGGTTCTTTACCACTAGCACCACCTGGGAAGCCCTTAACTCCCCAGGCAGGGATCATACCTGCACCCGCTGCATTGGAAGGTGAAGTCTTAACCAGTGGACCACGAGGAAAGTCCCAACACAATTTACTGAGTGAGATAAGTGAAAGTGTTAGTTGCTCAACTCTTTGTGACCCTATGGATTGTAACCTGCCAGGCTCCTCTGTCCACGGAATTCTCCAGACAAGAAGACTGGAGTGGGTAGCCACTCCCTTCTCCAGGGGATCTTCCCAGCCCAGAGCCTGAACCCAGGTCTCCTGCATTGTAAGCAGGATGCTAAGTGGAGCCTTAGCGTTGGGTTGTACTTTTGGCAAGGGCAGTGGCTCTGTCAGTCTTAGTGAACAGGACCATACGCTGGGCACACGCATAGCCTTTCTCCCTGACACACAGCCACTCCACCTTCTTGCCCCTAGTGCTCGCAGTAGGTGTGATGGCAGAGAATGACAATTGTTGTGATCGGCCAGGAAATGGCTCAGCATTTTGTCTGCTTGGTTGTTTGAAGCCTCTTCTATGTTGGTGCTGTTGGGTGGGTGTTATGAAGCTCTTCATACTACATGGCTGTTCTCTCATGTCCAGTGGTATATCTGTTTCCTGGACTTCCTTTTTCCCTGATAGTCAAATCTTTCTGAGGCCTTGTAGTGGATGTAACAGATTCTCTCAAAAATTCATGTTTACCTAGAACATCAGAACGTGATCTTATTTGAAAATAGTATCTGCATAGATGTAACTAGTTAAAAACCTTGAGATGACATCAGGGTGGGCCCTAAGGCCAATGACTGATGCTCTTATAAGGAGAGAACACTCAGAGATACATAGAGAAAGTGATGTCATGATAAAGGCAGAGACTGGAGGGATGAGTGTGAAGCCAAAGAATGCCAGAGATTCCTGGCAGTTACCAGAAGCCAGGAGAGAGGCGTGGGATGGTTTCTTCTTCAGAGCCTCCAAAGGAACCAACCCTGATGATACCCTGATTTCAGACTTCTGGCCACCTTGAACTATGAAGAAATAAGTCTAAAAAAAGCCGCCCAATTTGTGGCAGTTTGTATGGTGGCTCCAGAAAACTAACATGGTCCCTGACCAGCGGGCCAAGCGTTAGCCACTGACCGTGGGTCCATGTATATTCTAACCTTTGGCTGCTTCTTTCTTCATGGAAAGTGGGTGTTCAGGTCCACAGCCTGAAGGGGATTTCCCTTATTATTATCTTTTAAGGCTACCCCTTGAATATTTATAAGAGGAGATTTCTCTCATAAAATAAATTTCACATATCAAACTAAAAATTTCTGTGTATTGAAAGATATCTTTAAGAAAGTGAAAAAGAAAATAAATGGAAACAAAATAATTGCAACACCTTGGCAAAGAATTGATAGTAAATATATGCAAGGGAGGTCTTCCCTGGTGGCTCAGCAGTAAGGAATCTGCCTGCAGTGAAGCCGACTCAGGTTCGATCCCTGGGTTGAGAAGATTCCCTGGAGGAGGAAATGGCAATCCACTCCAGCATTCTTGCCTGGAAAATCCCATAGACAAAGGAGCCTGCTGAGCTACAGTCCATGGGGTAGCAAAGAGTTGGACACAAGTTAGCGACTGAGCATGCACACATATGAAAGGGACATCTACAACCTAAAAAGAAGACTGCAATGAGATACAATCTTAAACCCAATTCATTCATAAATTGAAGATATCTAATATCATTAAATATTGGAGAGAATGTGCCTGAATAGCCTAGCTTATACTTTGCTTGTTGGGAGTGTATTAAATTGGTTTGACTACTTTGGGAAATAATTTGGCATTATCTTTTAAAGTTGGATATTCATATAACCAATGATAAATAACTTTACTCTCAGATATATACCCAAAAGAAATTCTTGCACTTATATTAGGAGACACACTCACAAGAGTGTTCACAGAAGCATTCTATTTGAAATAGCAAAAACTAAGGAAAATCCCTACACTCAGTGATAGGAGAACTGATAATTAGTGGTATGTTCAGATGATGAAATATTTTACTCCAAAAGAAAGTGAATGTTAATGTATCCTAGGAATATAATTTGAGTAAAAAGTAAACCACTAAAGATTAGATATAACCATAAATCTTGTCTTTAAAAAAAAAGTTATGACTAAAACTACCCAAAGTTTTTTTAAGAAATATTTGTGTTGTGGTAAAACTGTCCTTCTAAAAGGCTAGGGGAATAATAGAAGTTGCCAGATTGTGAGCTGCTGTGCAGAGAGGCAGGGTGCAGGAAAGGAAGGGGAACTCAAGTGTCTGTTAGAAATGATGACTGCTGTCATTTTCATGTTAGTGGTGTTAATGCATATGTGTGCTTACTGCGTAGTTCTCAGTCGTGTCCTACTCCTTGTGACCCCATGGACTATAGCTTCCCAGGCTCCTCTGTCCATGGGATTCTCCAGGCAAGAACACTGCAGTGGGTTGCCATGCCCTCCTCCAGGGGATCTTCCCAACCCAGGAATCAAACACAGATCTCCCACATTACAGGTGGATTCTTTAGCATCTGAGCCACCAGGGAAGCCCAAGAATACTGGAATGAGTAGCCTGTCCCTTCTCCCGGGGATCTTCCCGACCCAGGACTCGAATATGGGTCTCCTGCATCGCAGGCAGATTCTTTACCAGCTGAGCTACTAGGGAAGCCCGTTAATACATATACAGGAATTTATTGTCTGACAAGCAAACATATAAGTAAGTTAAAAAAAAAAAGACCACGCCTGGTCCAAGATCATGTCCTGTATCATGGATCAAGGATCATGATTTATCAAGTTTTAGGCACCTACTGTTGGAGGCACAACAATTGGACTTTTGAGTGTGCAGAAATGTTCCTGGTTGATCAGTATCGGGAGCAACAAGAGCCTGGGATCTGGGACAAGATGCAGCCTGAAAGAGAAGGGGAAAGAAGTTCTAATAAAGTCACAAACATGGTCTGAAGAGAAAGTCTTGTGAGAAATTCCCTGTGGGGATGGCCGAGGAGCTTGGAAAATAGAGATGTTAAGAGGTCCCTTTTAAGTGGTTTCCTTTTCTGAACTCTGGTGTAAATAACCTCCATTAGCTCAAGTCCACAATAAAAATCTGCTACATAAACATGATAAATAACAACAGTAAAAGTCCTCCTTCAATCACTTATTTATTACACACACATTTGTTGAGTTCCTACTGCCTGGCATACAGCAGAGTGATATAGCAGCAAACAGACCAAGTCTCTGTCTTCATGAAGCCACTGTATATAATTTTTAAGCTGATGATAAATTCTAGGATAAAAATGAAGTAAATTATAGGGAGAGCTAGATATGGGGTGATTTAAAAGAAAATTTGGCTGCATTAGGTCTGATTTACTGCATGTGGGATATTTGTTGAGGCATGCAGAATTAAATTTTGAAGGTCTTCTAAGCTCATGATAATCAGCTCATGAATGCTGGAAGAAAAGATGATTCACTGCTGTCCAAACTAAAGGGCAGCAGGTTCTTAGTGAAAACAGTCGGGGTGAGTTGATGACTAAGTCTAAATGCCACATAGAATATGTCCCTTTATTTTTAGGGGCTCCAGGAAACAAAGACATCCAGGTATAAGCACATTATAAACATCAGTGGGCTTTGCCAGACAGCATAACTTAAGCATTTTATTTTGGGTAGAAAGAACTTGGTCTTTGTCCCTTACAAATGTCACACCGTTTACTTTCATACTACGTTCTTTCGTCTGCGGTTATTACTTCCTTCTCAAGCACACAGATGGAAACTGTTGCTTACATGGAAGGAAACCTTTCCAAACTCCTATTTCCTTTCCTTACCACTTTGCATAGTAAAACAATAATATTTTTTTTTAGTCTCAAGTTTCCTTTCCTCTTTCTACAGCTATTTTAGTATTTCCAGGATTTGAACACACACACACACACA